ATATGTTCACACTAATAGTGTAGACCACAGTTTGCACTGTAGTTCAGTTTGGCCGTGACGAACAGACTAATAGTTCAGTTTGAACATCTCAGGCACACTGGTAGTGTAGTGCGGCCAAGTCACACGCACTGAATGAGCAGTTTGAGGGGTCCAAACGCACTGGCCACACTATTAGGAGCATTGTTCTGGAAGATACAAGGTTCGTCAGGTCATTGGGTTAGTCCGAGGTCTTCAAAGGCTGCTGTGAGATCTTTCTGCCAAAGAAGAGGGGACCTTCGTAACCCGTACAAAGCTCTGTTGAGTCTAAGTACCCATCCGATTCGCATGAAGCCGTCGGGGAACCGGACGAAGATGACTTCATCCTTATCAAGGAGGCTGTTTGTGAATGCGTTGACCGCGTCGAGTTGCCTAGTCTCGAGGTCAAATTTGGCTGTGATAGCCATCAGAATGCGAAAGGAGCGGCCTGCAAGGGTTGCTGCATAGGTGTCTTTGTCTCCTAGCAATTGCAAGTCTCCGCGGACGCAGATTCGGGCTTTGAACTTGATGAGGAACCCGTGCTTGTTGAACTTATATTTAAACACCCAGGTCAGGGGTATAACACGGCCTACGGCTTCGGCCTGTGGAATCGGAGTGAACGTTCTTCTCTGTTGGAGGGATCTCCATTCGACGTTTCCGGCTTCTTTGAACTGTGGTCCAAAGGGATGATTCTTGAGGTCTCTCCAGGTCTTGGGTTCAGGAGGAAGGGATCTTTGATGAAGCTTTTCTTCTCTGCCGAGAAAGAAGCTGCTATGAAAGCGTCCTGTTGTGAGAGCTGAGAATGCTCCGTGCTTTCGAGGTTGTGGGGGTCTTTGTGACCTGCGAGGTTGCGGCGCTGCGGCTGCTGGCTGCCGACTTAGTGGTGTGAGTTGAAGAGAATCTGGTGGAGAATCTCTCGTGGGAGCAGGAGATGGATAGGGATTCTGATCCGTGTCCTCATGATCAAATGGTTCATCGGTTTGAACCACGATGGTGTCATCGGGCTGAACTTCAGTAGCCGATTCAGGGGTCTGAGTGATATTTTCGCTGATTTCCTCGTAGTCAGATTCGTCTTCAATATGAGCTGGAAGTTGAACTTCTAGACGTGAATGCTCCTGATCAGATGGTTCTGATAGGTCCGGGTCGTAGAAAGAGTCCTCAGTGAATTTGACATCACGAACTCGTCTGATTTCATCTCGGGAAGGAATCCAAATGCGGAAGATGTTAGTAGAATCGTAGCCGACAAGGTAGCCGACTTCGGCGTGAGGAGAGGTCTTAAGATCCTTCTTCTGGGTGTTGTTTAGAGCCTGAACTGTCAAAGGATAGGCTTTACAACCATATGCTTTGAGGAAGGTGGTGTCTGGCTTGATGTGACCCTGAAGGTATCCTGTATCCTTCTTTTCGTCAAGGAGCCATTGATGAAGCTTCTCGAACGGGGTTTTCCAGTCAGAGGATTGCTGGGGCGATCTGTTGTGAAGGAAGGCTGCGGCGTTCCAAGTTTCTGGCCACAAATCATGGGGAAGATTCGCTCCTATTTGCATAGTGCGAGACTTGGTGGATATTACCCCCCCAGATCGTTCAGCTGATCCATTCTGTGCGGGTGTGTAGGGAGCAGAAGGCTCATCCTTGATGCCTTCGTGTGTGATCCATTCATCGTAGGCTGTCTGTAGCCCAGGATCGTTGTCCCTGTGGATGATGCAGACTTGTAGCTTCCATTGACGGAAAATGAAGGCAGCGAATGCTTTGAGAGCACCCATGAGGACTCTTGCGTGGTGTCGTTGAGAGGATAGACGAAAATCATGCCTGTAAAATCGTCTGTGACCAAAAGGGCGGCTCTCTTCCCGTTGAAGGAAGGGTGATGACTGAAGATATCTATGTAGATTCTCCAGAAGGGTCGCGGCGCCTTCGTCTGTGGTTTCCGTCTCGAAACAAGCCGTTTTGCTTTGCCTAGGGAGCAGGCTTCGCAGTCAAATTGCAATGGGCCTTTGATCTTGCATCCGAGAGTGTTTTCAACAGCGTGTTGAAGTGCATCAGCCTTCAAGTGGCCTAGTCGCTTGTGCCAAAGGCTGGCTTCTGCTGACTGCAATGTGCGCGGGCTTGAAGAGGCTGCAAATGATGATTTTGGGAGTTCATTGTACTCAAGAACGGGCTGACGATGCACACGCTTTGTGATGCATATGATTGTACCGTCATCTTGCTTGAATACCTTTCCTGAAGCAGGATCCCAATTGTATCCTTTTGAATGAAGAGGTCGAGCGAGGCAACGTTGGTATGGAAGTTCGGGATGTATGCCACGTTGTTGAGCTGAAATAGCCCACCTGTGATACGTAGCATTACAGTGCCGTAACCAAGAATACATAGCTGTGAGTCGCCTGCGAAAAGTTCTTCTGGTTGATCAAGGGGAACGTAGTTGGAAAACCGGGATTCGTTATTGCAGATGTGCGTATCGGATCCGGAATCCAGGATAAATGAGTCTCGAAGAGGATATGGAGCCTTTAAAGTTGAAAAGCTCGTGCAATGAGTGGGTGGAGTAGGGAATGAATCCGGCGTAGGGGCAGACTCGTGATCAAATGCTTCTTCCATCGGAAGTCCTGCAAATGCTGCACCTTTGAGGGGTTCTTCCTTCTTGTCTGACTCCAGGAGAGTGCCAGTGCGGTCCAAGATAGCATCAACTTTGCGTTTCAAATCAATGTCGGACTCAAGCTTATCTCTGATCTTCTTGAGGGCGGGTTCATGAGGGACCCATCCTTCTGGTCTGATCGTTTTGTCGAGGTAGAAACACTTATTGATTGAGTGGAATTTGTTACCACAAACGCAACGGTTCTCCTTCTTCTCATCGTCTGAAGTAGGATTCTGCTTCCCATCTTTGTCACGGCCTTGGAAGCCAGCTGGAAATGCTCCGCCTTTATCATTGTTGCCCTTGGAACCGGCATTCTTAATGCGGTGGGCGCGTTCGAAGATCTCAGAGATCTTAATGCCGTCTGGGAAGTGGTCCTTCCAGTCGGGTTTTCCGGTGACAGCTTCATCCTCCATTTTGTTGATCCAGTAGTCAGTGAATGGTTCGTTGATGGATGAGACTGCCTGAAGAAAGTCTTGAGTGGGGCGGAGACCCTGTGTGTCAGGGAGCCCTAGTTTCTTGGCTTCGGTGAGGGTCTTCTGCCACTTCGTGACCCAGGTCTCAATCTCGGACCTGTCAGGGGCTCGAAGAACGGCTCGGTAACGTTCCAAGACTTCTCTCTCAAGGGCCCAGTCAGTCGGTGCGACTCTGGCTTGGAGGAGAGATAGCTGCTTGGCAACGTCATGTTCGTCAGAAATTGTGCTGTAGTAATTGCCGATATGCTTGATGATGTGTTCTTGAAGGCTGGCGAGGGCCTTCGTGTTGTCCCGATAGGTTTGGAGCCTAGATCGGTATAATGTGTGAAGATATTCCAATCGACGGAATTCTTCTGAGGTTACCTAGAGCACCAAGATCGGATGCTTGGGCGTTCACCTGGATGGGTGTAGGCTCTGATGGCCTTACAATGGTTGATTTGTCGTCATTCGCAGGGTCCACAAACTCCCAGATATTATGAGATGTGGCGAATTTCTGGATGACGGAAATCCATTGTTTCCAGTCACAAGGTCCGTTGAGAATGATGACCTTGGAAGAGCTCTCGTGATCAGATGATTGAGTCATCTTTTCGTCGCGTGATGATGCGAAGTGGAAGCGATACCGTGAAAATAATATAATCACCCAGTTGTGCAAACCGGGCTCATAACTATTGCAGTACGAGATGGGCAGCAAGCATTAATCTTGAGTGGAATAAAGCTCTTGATTCTTCTATCTAGAGAGGGAGTGTAGATGATCTTATATAGATAGAAGAACAGTGGAAGTGAATGAATAACCCAGCTGTTGGGTTGTGGCTGTGTAAAGCGTAGGCAAAAGGAAGGTTAATTGCCTGCATTAGCCTAGGTTGACTGGAAGACCAAATGAGCCTTGGCTGGTATACGGCCGAATATGCCTCTAACCCAGCTGTGACAGTGCAACATTACACTTGGCAGACCGCGCTTCAGTCGCTGAAGGTAGGACGCTGAACACTTGGAGAAACTGACCTTCAAGTAGGCCTCAGGCTTTCTAATCATACGCGTATGATTTAGTTAAATCATATATTGCCCATATACATATACCATACAGCCCCAGACGTATGATCATATATGATCATACGCTGGATAAAGTTGTGCCGAGGTCAACATGGTCAGGCAAGGAAGTCGGCGGCACCCTGGCGCTTGCCCAATGCCCATTCTCCTAGTCCTGAAAGGCCACTCTTTCCGATAGATACAAAAATAGAGAGAATGCCTGAATAACATATCGCTTGCTGAAGCTAACTCTGTGCAACTCGGACTGCTGTATTATGTAACCCCGCTCCGCTCAGAAACTACCAATTTCGCTGCGAAGCTGGTGGAAGCAGGGTGGTCAATGTCCGAGGAAGGACTCATATACAGAAAATTTGCCCAAAGGCATGGCATGGGACGATTTTTACAAGAGTGAAGAGGTTGTGGGAAGACGAATACAAGAACTTACCAACCGTTTGTAATACCGTAGTGGCTGCGAGGCTCTCTGAAGTAGTTATTTGTTGAACTGGTAGTTCAACCTGGCCGAACGTCATAAAACATCCCAGTGTATCTGCGCGAACAGTAGGGTTCAATCTGGTGCGTCCGCCAACGCAGAATTAAGGACTGAGATGTCGCTGTCTCGAAGGCTTGTCTCCGAGTACCTTGCGTCCATTACTGTTTTCCAAGCTAAAGCGGTGAGGACGTCATTTGTTGAATAATTTCGTATTTCTGCGAGGTTACTGCAACGCGAAACATCTCTCTTCAGACGTGTGAGAGCATCAGGGCTAAGGCAAAAAACGTGACCGAGATAACCCTCGGTAGTTGAAACGCCACGAACTTGTGTTGCAGTGTCCGTGAGCACGGTGAATTCTGGATGGTCCTCGATCCGTCCTTCAAAGCCAAGTGAGGAATAGTCCGTTGTAAGACGTACGGGGGTTCGTGAGCCGCACGCGCGAGGAAGTAGTCCCCCCCGGGGAAGCCGAGAAGCCGGCGACAATACGCATGAACTGCCGCGGTAGGTGCGTAAGATATGCCTGGCAGAGCACGCTCTGGTTCCAGCGGCCGGCCTGCGAGATCTGGGCGAGCGACGTGCCATGGGTCTCCGCGTCCTGGGCGCCCACCCTGCGCGGGAGGTGCGTCTTCTTCGACGCGATAAGGCCGGCAGCGCCGAAGATACGCCAGGTCTCTTGTAGCTGCGTCGGGTACGAGAGCTCCTGCTCGCGGTCCCGCCCGACGAGGACCTTGATCCGATACCAGTCCTGACGGCGCCGGAAGGACGGGGCGGTTCGCCGGCGACGTGCCAGCGCCAAAGAAGAGCTGTGCTAGGGCCCTTGCGTACAGAATAAGGGTCCTTGTGCCGGAGCGCGCCCATAAACTCCTTCCTCGCCGTCTTATTTAGCTTGCCGTCCCGTAAAAGGCTTACCAGGCAACTACAGGGGTCGGGCCTCCGAAGGCGGATAGTCGAGTAGGGATAGGTCTGCAAGCTCCATCTTGCGGCGGTTCTCCCCGTAAGAGGTAGTAGTGGCCGAAGAGGAGGTCGACTCGCGTACGGAGGTTTTGCGGCGTATACGCGGCGCCAGTGAGAAGGAGATCCTGGATCCGAAGCCATTCATCGGGGAGGTAGCTGGCCTGGATCCCGTCGCTTCCCGCGGTCTTTAAAGGAGGCGCGGTCGTGCTTCCCCCGCTGCCGGCCCCGTTGCTCAAGGAATCCTCGTACGGCGGCGCCCCGGGGATTCTCCGTATTCGCGTTGCCGTGAGCCACCCGGAGCCTCCATAGCTCGACAACGGCCGCGATATAGGCGTCGATAGTGCCCCTCGTAAGCAAATACCCTTCGGTAAGGTCTACTGCAGCCGTCGCGAGGCCTGTGGGTGGCACGTAGCCCTCGCGGTCGTCAGCGAGCAGCTCGGCGGCCTCGGCCAGGGGACCTCCAAGCTTCGGCCAGACTTTCGGCCTCTGCCATGGCCGTGGCCTCGAGCTGCTCCTGTTCGCGCTGTTGCCGTACCTGTACGGCCTCGCCGTTGCCGTTGCCCCTAACCTTACCCGCGCGCGCTTCTTCTGCGGCGGCACAACGCGTCGTAACAGGATATCCTCTTTGAGCCACGCCGCCAGCTTGTCCGGCGTTACGAGCTCGCCGTCGGGCCAGCTATAGAGCTCGCCGTCTTCTGCAGCCCGAGGCGTATGGCACCAGGCCTATACGTATTTGTCTGTTAGCCGCCTAGGGGGCCGTACGTGACAGGGATCGAAGTGGAGGACCGGCCGGGGGACGCGCCTTCCACTCCCGCTGCTTCGCCGCGTAACTCCGCGCCGTGTTCGCCGGCTGTTCGTCCTTCTTCGCCTGGATGCCCGCTCTCCGGGCGGCACGGGCGCGCTCGTCAGCTGCCGTGTACGAGTCGTCCGCGGCCATCTCGGTCGATCGGGCACCTTCCTACGGGGCGAATGTCTGGGCTGGGTTGGCCGCAGGGTGGTTTTCCATATCTAAATATGGAAATACCCTTTCCATGAATGGCATGGAATAGGTATGGATATGGATCCATGTATTTCCATACTATTGGCTGAACCACGCCACTAACAAGGGTTCCTACAGGGGCTACCTACAGGGCTGTGGGCCTGGAACCCCGCTACAAATCCGCACATCCACAAAATCAGCCTCACCACCAACCCACAGCATACCATTATCACCTGGCGACAATGGATTCTGAGCCTGTGTTAGTTATGTTTCTTCGATTCTGAATCCATTGCTTCGGATTCATTCGCGTCTATATCTCCCAAGACAAGAGAAAACCTGCTTTTGGATCATGAAAACATGCTCATCTGGCAGTAGTGTACCGGTAGTAAAAGGGTTAGGGGAAGCGGAGTTCAAAGGCAGGAACCGCCTCATATATTATCTTTATTGTCCCCAGAATGATCCCTACAGTACTTCTGTCACAGCCAGCTTTCGAAAACACCCTGAGGGCAAGAAAGTATGTCATCAACGTCGCAGAGAATTTATCTCCTCTTCAACCGTCCATCATCGAAGGATTTGATCAACTCTACGGGCAAGCGTGGGATCTGGGCCGTGTCTTCAAAGGCTACCTTGACCAAGAAATTATCAATAAAGAGAATTCGCCCTATTACGCCGCTTCTTTGGTCCTTCATCCAAGCTATCGCACGACGTACATCCACTCAAATTAGAAGAAGTGGCATAAAACTGCTTTCAAACGGGTCAAAGACCTTTGCTACTCTTACCGAAATACAAACGACGGTACAATTTCGTATCATGTACTGGACGAAGAAGAAGACAATGGCCTTGATGCATTTGATCGTATTTCAAGAAATCTGCAGAATTGTGCTCGACCTACAAGTCAAGACGAGTATGAAGATTACATCTCAGGTGATCCATATGAGATTGCGCCAACAACTGCTTTATCATGGTGGCTTCAAGAGCGACATAGGAACCGACGGCCGAAGTTATCACGAATGGCAATAGACATCCTATCAATGCCAGCGATGAGCGACGAGCCGGAACAGGTGTTTTCAGGGGCTCGTCGTACGATCTCCTGGGAAAGGGCACAATTGGATGCGGACCAAATTGAAAAGGAGAATTGGTTGAAGCATTGGGTGAAGAACAATGTCTTGAAGAGGAAGGGCGGTGGCGTGACCGTGGCGTGAGAATTCGTGCAAATTCCCGTCTGATTTCCCTCCTCGTCTTGGAACAAAACACGTAAGATTTGCCTACCCTCTCTTTTGGACATTATCATTGAGCTCAATCAATTACTTCGTATTTTTAATTCACCATATGGTGTGAATTTGTCCATCTTGTCGAAGGTGTCTTCAGTGACATTTTGTCGTCGTGCACGGACCAAGTATGGAAAGGTGTATTGCAATACTTGCAATAAATGTGGGGCCGATACCGATTATCGATTGCAGGCCTTTCCATGTATGGAAAACCACCCTGACCCCGCCGTCTGTCGCTCCGCCCCCCCCGTCTGTGGTGCCTGTGTCGACCTCAAACGCCTCGGTAACACCGACGGTCAATTCGTCAACCGCTGGTGGGCCTGTAAACGCGGTCAATGTGCCGTAAGTATCTATGTGATCAACGACGAGACTTGACTGCTCGCAGTATGCTGATATACGTGGAAACTCTAGTGTGGTCAACTCGGTGCCGCCCAATGTGCTGGTGTAAGTGCCTATCCCATGATTGACGGTGAGTTTTGACTGCTTGCAGTATGCTGACATAGATGGCAACTCTAGCTCGTAAGTATTTATCCCGTGATTGACGTGTAGAATGCTTGCTCGCTGGCAGCATGTTGACATAACCGGCGATTGTAGTAACTCCGATTTCTTGTGGCGGGTTCATTTGGCGAGTTCGGAACGTTTGATGGGTTACGGCATGGATGCTTCGGTCGTTGTATGGAGTTTGTGACGGTCATACACTGAGCCAGAAGGCTGTGGACTCTATTACGAAGATTCTGCTCTGAAGAAGAAAAAGGAGAACAGAACAATACAGCTGGGTGACCGTCTCTCCCTAAATATGCCTTTTTTTAGGTGTATTACGCCCGGAGGATTCCCCCATAGAGCCACTACGCTAGGCTGTCTACAATCTGTATATTGTCCCATCTCACTCAAAGCCCTACGTTTCTGCTCGTTCTATTCCAGCCTCGATCGCTTTTACGTGACAGACCTGCTTGAAGGTCAGTTTCTCCAAGTGTTCAGCGTCCTACCTTCAGCAACTGAAGCGCGGCCTGCCAAGTTGAACTGCATAGCGCATCCTTCCTTGCATTTTTACTTTCTTGGCACGCAAGTGTTAAGAAAGTAGCCTGTTCTCACATACTTTCGCTTAACAAGTGCTCTTGACAAAACTCCAATTGAGCCGCGCGTAAGCGCCGGCAGCGACCATGGCACCAGCCTCAGGTTCGCATGTCGACTCCAATGCCTCGAGACAAGGCATACGATCGCCGCCAAATCCGGCGGCTCACATATCGCATCTCCGACCTCGCTACCCGACGGAAGCTCGCCGAAACGACTCGTTTCCCGCGGCCCAGCAGCTGGCCCAGTCAATCTCGTCCACCGAAACGCCTGAAGCTGCCGTCACGGAAGGAGCGCAGCTGGAAGAAGCCCCGAATCTCTTCAGCTCGTTGACAGGCTCTTTAGTCAGGGCCGCCGCTTAGCGCCGTGGGTTTTGAATCAAGATCCCAACATCGAGGTTACGTCCCGTCCTTAATAAAAAGATGCGAGTCAGATCTAGCCAAGCAACGCCGTCCCTACAAATCACACAATGGCGTTCGTTCATGCAGCGTGGAGCCCGGTCGTACAGGGGGGCGCCTGGCCTACTCTACAGCAGGGCATCCTGTAGACTCCCGCTGAAGAACAAACGCCAAATCAACCAGCGACACGGACCCATGAAACGGATGCAGCCTACTGCGACATTTTGTTCTTGCAGCAGGACACTCTCCCGCATGAGGAGGAGCCCAGAAGTTGGAGTGTGCATTCCACTTTTGCCTGGTGCAGTGGCATTGCGATATTTAATGGCATTATAACTAGCTGTGGAGCCGGTGGACCCCAACGGAAACTCCGTACTTGTACTAGGGGGGCCTAAAAGTCGGCCAAATCCCCGTCCCCGATCCTCAGGGACGGGGGGGACACTGACCGGGAAAAAGGACGCTAACACGGAAAACCTCGGTACCTTCATCCCACACTGTTTTACTAAGAAACTAAGGTTCTCTACTCCCCCTTGTTTGATGCATACAATTCCCTCACCAAGCGGCAGCATTTAATTGTCCGAAATATCGGCAGATGCATAAGAGAGCGACACCTTAGTATTTTGAAGCTATATTCTGCATACAATTGTACTTTCATCGATCTCTAGACCTTCATCCTCATCGACAGCCTTAGAATCATTGCTAGAAGTTTCATCAATGTCGTTCAATGGTATGTCAACGCCGTCAGCTTCCAGAGATAGCACCTTACGGCTCCTTGTGCGCTCTTTGTGCTCTAATATCACCAAGTCTGCCGCCTCGTGTACAGCGGCGTGATCGTACTCATGATGATAAGTGAGGCTGTCGTAGAACTTGCGTTTGTACGATAATTCCCGGAAGGTGCACCAACGATAACAAAGCCACTCGGTGCTATTGAGATGCACCCGCCGGTCGCCCTTAGTCCAGCCTCCTTGGAGCCGCATTTGCGAGGTCCTCGTCTCTTTGATGCTATTCCGAACGGTCCCTCTGACGTCACGAAGCCATCGTCGTAAGTAGGCAGCTTCATCTCGTGCCTCCTTCTTCTTCATCCGGCGTTGTTCCTCTGCCTTGGCACCCAGTCTGTTATATTCGTCTCGTGCGACCCGGACTCTCGCGTCGTAGACACTCAAGGGCCCGTATTTCCCTATAACTCGTGTCTTCTCCTTGAGGGCCGCGCGGCTAAGCTGCTTTTCCTTAACACGGCGCATCTCATCTGTAGCTGTAATGCCATTGAGAGCGAGGGTATTCGCAGCCTTGCGTGCCTTTAAATGTACGTGCGAGACTGACGGCGTCAGCGGCACCTCGGAAAGAATAGAGACTTCCAATCGCAGGTTCACGTAGTCATTATATCGTCGAATGACGGAGAGATCGAGTTTTGGTGTAGTGACGCTATTCAATCGATTTGGCGGATCGTGGGTTCGATTACTTGGTCGAAGTTGCCTTCCTGGATGAAGCAGGGAAGATCTCGCTTATCTACTTCTTTCGTAAGCGATGATAACGCATCTTGGAGGTTATCGAGAACCATCGACGGCTTGTGTGGGAAAAGACCGCACTTCTCCCACGTCGAGAGCATCGTATGCTTCTTGAACGTTCGATTGCGAATCTCTTGAAGATGGTAGAGGAAGTCGGTCTTGCCGAAGTCACTCGCGCCGTCAGCAACCTCACGATACACAACTTGCTGGTGCCAGTGCTTGTATGACCGGAAGACACCAACGTCGAGCGGCTGGAGATAATGGGTAAGATGAGGCGGCAACGGGAAGAGCTCGATATCGTGATCGTGACAAAAATGCACGATTTCACTAGTATGGTGGTTATCGCAGCCATCCACCAAAAGAACGCGTGTTTCCCCCGGGTTTGAAGGCCGTGTCGAGGGAATACTCGTCCCTGCAACAGATATAGCTTCAATCGCGGTTACAGAGACAGTCTCGTGAGAATCCGAAAGAACGGGCTTCTCAATGTCGTTAAAAGTCCAGAGGAAGGTGCCCTTATTTATATAGCCAACCATGAAGCCCGTCTCGTCAAAATTCCAGATATTTTCGCGCCGGATATCGTGCCTCGCGATGAAATTCGACCAGTCTTGGAAGAATGCCTCGACACAAGCTCGGTCTTGCATCGCCTTTCGCTTAACGTCTCGTGAAGCTGCTTTCCGGCGATGGAAATACCGTCCCCATCGCTTCATGAAACGCTGGGCCCATTTCTGTGATGCCGTGCCTCCCCTGCCTTTTGCCTTCAGAATGGCGTTGGCGTGTTGTTGAAGGGCGCGCCCCTGGATATGGTGCCCCTGAGCGATGCGGCGATGTGCCCAGCAAAGCACTTCTTGCTCTTCTTCCGACCCCAGTAGCGTAGCGTTCCGCCATTCTCAGAAACTGGATGATGCCCTTGAATGCGTGATCTCAGGCGCTTGTACGGCACGCCCAATGCATCAGAGGCTGCCTTCATCGTACGGTAAAAACCTTCGACAATGAGCTCCGATGCCGCGACAGTGCGAGCTTCGAGATTCTCTTGACCATGCCGCGCGAAATTGGGTTTATTCGTCTCAGAATTAATCCATTTTTGCATAGCAGTAGGTTCAGAGCTTGAGGAGGCCATAGCGAAAATCTCGTCGAAATTGCAGCTCCAATCCGTTTGCTAGCCATTCTCATCATCTTCGTCATCGTATATGGTTTTGTTGCATAGCTTATCTAATGGAAGTGCGGAGATGATATTGAATAATCAAGGATATGCTGTTAAGAATGGAAACTTCAGTTTTGCGTGCACTAAGGTACATTTCTATGTACCTTGATTTCTTTTCCGTGTCAGCGTCCTTTTTCCCGGTCAGTGGCCCCGTCCCTGAGGATCGGGGACGGGGATTTGGCCGACTTTTAGGCCCCCCTAGTAGCTGCTTCTAGATCTGCTTATGCCTTGATGATGGTACTACCGGTAACTTCTATCATACGCGAGTCAGATCAGGCGAACCCAGTCATGGGCAGGCAGCACAGGCTTGTGGATTCAGTGCTCCTAAGTGCAAACTCTGGCGGAGACTATTAAATAGTCTGCACATTTACTAGCCTGACCTGTGTGTGTAAGAGTCATTCCTGTGCAGCAATTCTTTATGCCGGTCTAGTAATTGCCAAAACTACTGGGTATAAAGTGCGAGCGTTCCACCTCGGAGCTGGAAAATTTTCGCATGCTACCTACTTCTTCTACTTGCGCCATCATCGATTTTACCTCACTCCCTTTTGGTGTCCTCCTTTTTGAGTACCTTTTTGCTAACATGAAGGCTTCAATTGCCCTTTTCATGTGCCTGCCGGGGCTGGGACTAGCGGCCCCAACGCCGGACCAAATTATAGCACCAAGAGAAAACGATTCGCCTCAACAAGTTGATGGTCAAGGTAATTATCTTAATGCTCAAGGTCAAAGACTTGATCGCAGTACTGGTCAATGGGTTGATGTCCCTGGTGCTCATCGACTTGATGGCTCAAAGATTTCTAGTAAGACAAAGTCAAATTCCTATTACTCAGAAATTAATATCGTTTCTGATGAGCTTCTTCCTCAAGCCGATAGTCACCCTGTTAAAGAGAAACAAGATAAACCTACAGGTGGTCCGGGCTGGCAAGTTCTAAACGGCCTGTGGGGATAAAATGCTTCGCCGAGTTCAGGAATATTGAACTGAAAGATTCGGGAAAGCTGAGTGAAAGCTTTCTTGCGTGTAAGCAGGCCCGCAGGGTGAGCTATGGGGCTCAATTGCGGAGGAACTTCTCTCGTTTGTCATGCCTCGGTAAAATACTGCGTCACACCTTGCACTTCAGGGATGTGGTGCAAGGCGTACAATCAGCCGAAGGCTGCGAGTCTGGCCAACAGTCAACCAGTCACCGAACAATCAGTACAGTATCTACAATCATACACTTCATTTGTGCCTTGGAAAGCGTCGTTCTTGTTGCGGGTAGCATCAAGTAGAGTTACGTAGACCCGTGGCCTATCTTGTATGGATTCTGGGTGAGAACCTGTCGTTTGCGAAGTTGCTGATCCCTCATTTTCATCTTAATTCCTTCCAGCGGCGACGCATAAGTCAGGTGATTGCGGTCAAACGGGACATCCAGCATCAGACCCTGCAGCGTTTTCACACGCGAGATGGCGACGTAGCTCAAACCGGTCTAAAAGTCACGGCAGGACAGATCCGTCACGATCATGTCTTCGGTGATGCTCTGCGACTTGTGAACTGTAATGGCGTAGCATAAATGGCGTAGCATACGATCAGGGCAAACTGCGTACGAGTGCAGAGTGTTGGCCCAAGAGGAAGTCCCTCTCCACTAGTAGAATCGGCACAACCTTCCTGCCATCGGCGGTGGTCGGGAATACCGGCCCCATGTACTTATCAAACTCCATCATGATCACGCAGGAAGGGTCTTGCATGGGGTCAGCTCCAGGCGCCCAGGCGATATCGTACACTGTACCACGTGCGCCGTTGCAGAGGCCAACTGGCTGCCAAAGGTTGGACGTCAGCATCAGACGGGCGCCAACGCATACGGGACTCTGCTTCGCAAGGTTGCCTGCCTTGTCGTCAGGAGCAGCAGCAGCACCGGCACCAACGCTCATAGCCATGACCTGGATGACAGGCCGGCCTAGGCGGTCGAGGTGGTAGTTGTTATACTCGTTAACCCTGTCTTTCGTGGCGTATACTCGTAGGGGATTGACGAACATGGCCACCTCCTGATTGTCCAGCTTCGTCTGCACGCGGCTGGAGAGGAGCTTCCAGGACTCCTGGAATAGACGGTGCAGTCGCAATTGATCGAGGGCCGTGCGAAATGTGCCCCTTCTGATTACGCGGCTGAATGGTAATTTCGCGCGCAACGTTGACACAGACCACAGCGCCCTGTTCTCGCGAAGGAGAGAGCAAAAGTGGGCATAAAAGTGGATAAAGGGACTTTTCGAAGGTCGAGTATCATACGATCAGATGGTATGTGAAATGCATGTGTTCATTACTCTCCTCTTGTTGCCCTGTATCCGTCTAGCCCTCCCCTTTTATATCCCTCTGTGCCTTCCCTGTGTTCATATCCCGTGTTCAGGTATAATGTACATTCTATCAGGAAGAGGGCACTCCTTGCCCCTCACTGAAGGCCGCGTAAGCCATCTACGTCAGCACATTCAGCTCGATCTCCCCGATCAATAGCTTTCCAAACTATTAAGTCGATAGTTCAATCTCTTGAGGTCCCCGAGCCAGTAAAAGATATACCGGGCTCCTTGGAGGATCCCGATCGAATAGGAGATCCTCCGGACCCCTCAGTGGACCACAAACCTCCCTCCTTACCTGGTTTCGAGCTGTATTACCTAGAGAGACCTAGAGGCCTCACATCGTTCGGACCTTCTTCTCGACACCTGTACCAACATTTAACCTCCTAAAAGTAGAATTCGGTCAATTCTCTATCTGTTCCAAGTAACTGCTTGCGAATATCTTTAAAGTTGGCTGCAATCGGTGTAAGTGAAATGATAGACTTTTGGTGGAGTTTTTTTCAATTGCGCTACCGAAAGGGGGGTGTTACCGAAAGGGGGGTGGGGTATGGTATATGTTACTTCGAATTCGGGGCTTCGCCTCGAATTTTCTTTCCTTTCTTCCTTAGCTCTAGATAGACAACACATAGGCATCTGCTTGTTGAACAAACTCCAGACCAGCCCTTCACACTCCGCCAATCATGGTGACCATCGCGTGTGTCGTATAGAGCCGGTGTTTCAATCTCGTCTCGTCATCGAGTTCCGTCGTATTGGCGCAAATAAGTTCGGCTAAAAGTCTTCTTTCTTCCAAGCTGTAGGATTGGCTTTATTTCCCCTTTCCCTTCTTAATTCTCTTCACTAGTTTTCTGATTCGGTCAGGTCGAAGTGGTCTCGCGACCCTGAGCCCACCAGGATCTACTAGGGCTGCGTAACCCCCAAGAATGGGCTGATTGAAGCCGATCCAAAGACAGCATTGCTGTCATGCCTGAGCGTCCCGCTGACGGGCAGCAGGCCTGCAAAGAGCGCCTTTGAGCCGATGAAATGCTGTTGTGGAGGATTTGCATACGGACGAGCAGATAACGCCGGGATTTACCCTTTCCGACTCGGCCATAGTCTGAGCTTCCCGGAGTTTTCTGCCTCAATCGGTAGCCTGTAGATTCCCACTAGCTCAGCACGTCCTGTGCCCCCTCGCGGGGACCTGAGCGGCCTATGGCCGCTGGACGAAAAATACAGATAACATAACATAACATAACTTATTCAGCCGTAGGCTGACTTTACATTAATCAGAATAAGTTTCTAGAAAGCCGGACTTATCGAGAAGTGGGCCGACAACAAACAGAAGCATGTTCGCAAGAAGGGACACAGGATGCCACAAACTCAACTATGAGCCAATCCAGACCAGCTGAGCGTCCCCAAGGAGTCTCCATTGCGCACTGGAGAGCCATACAAATCAAGACAGCAAAAAAACTACCCATACCTGAGCAAAATGGCGGTGGATATACTGTCAATTCCCGCAATGTCTGCTGAGCCCGAAAGACTCTTCTCTGGGGCAAAAATAACCATCACAGACCGTCGAAATCGACTTGGGAGTGATGTAATTCAGGCATTGGAGTGCTTGAAGTCATGGTTTGGGATACAGGATTTTCAGGGTGACGATATTTCAGCAACGACGGTTGAATAATGAGGGTCACGTGGGATATACGGGATATATTGTTTTACTGGCAATATATTGGGTCACTGGCAATACAATACAATATGGACCAATGCCATATTGCGCAATACAATACGCACCTCTTGACAATACAATAATACGAGGTAAGGCAACCCCCTGGGTTGCGCACAAAAGCCTTGAGGAACGAAGACACGGTCGACTACCCGGCCGGCAGCGGAGACGGACGGCGTCGAGACCGGGCTGGAGGTCCCGTCGCAAGAGGGAGAGGCCGGCGCCGGCGACGACGCCGTGGAAGGAGACGACGGGAGGGGCCGAGGGGAAGTGGCCGTCGGGAGGCCAAGGAGCGCGGGAGGACGCCACAAGGAGAAGTCAGCGACGCGGCAGGGGAGGAGACGCATACAGGGCGGGGGGCATGGATGGTAGCCATGGTCGCGGACGACGAGCGTGGGAATTGTAGACGACGGTATCGCCCGGGCCGGCGTGGAGACCGTCGCGGCACTCGAACCCCCCAGGGGAGGGCATGGGAGTGGACGTGGCTGTTAACGAAGAACCGATGCTCGGACCGGTCAGGGTCGACGACCGGCTGGCCGTAAATCGAGAGGTTTACCTAGGCTAAAGAAGAGAGACAGCCGGGTCGGCGGCATCCGGCTCCGCGCGGAGGGCGCGTACTCGGCCGGGAGGAGCTACGAGGGGACGGGCAGGAAGACACGGGCGATAGCCTTCGGCGTTAAGGTTCTTGATGCGGTGCTCGTCTTAGTGGGCGAACCTCGAGGGCAGTCGGGCTGGGCGAAGAACATCATAGACATGTCGCCGTCGACGCTCTTGCCAGTACTAAGGGCCTCTTCAGATGCGGCGGAGAGGCGGCCGAAGACGGGGACGAAGACATGGCGAGGTTGTATAGCGTAAGAGCGACGCTGCCGTTTTGAATCGTTTAAGCGGGGCAGAATAGGAGCAGGAACTCTTCCTATTTTTGTATCGTTGGAAGAAACCGGCGGGAAGTGAAGGGCCAGGGCCGCCTTACAGAACACGAGCATAGATATTAACGGAAACACGGGAAAATTTTTAGCGGTTAGGAGAACATGGAAAGAGCGTTGTCTAGAGAATGCTATGAGAAGCGAGGGGAAAAGGGCAAAAAGGCGGTCTGCTTAGGGATAGAGGGGTTTTAAGACAACCGACATACGGGAAGCCATATTGTCACAGAATAGGGCAGCTTCATTGGCGACACGTTTAAGACATGGGGTTAAAAGCCAGTATGCAAGCATCTAACCTCGAACCAAGGCGCTTAGCGACATAGCTCCAGATAACAAGGAGGCGTAGAATGTAAAGCACGAGTAAGAGGAAGGTGCCGTAGCGACTTACATGTAAAGACCGGCCTAGGCCGTTGCATGCGATAGCAGCAGGCAGTTCCCGGTAGGCTTAATGGAAAGTCGGCGCCGGTATAATGTGAAGAGCAGCAGCATGCTTATAGACGTACTACGGAGCTCTATATAGAGTACATAGGTCATTGTAAATGTAAAGTGTCCGTTACGCATAAGCTGCATGCCGAGTAGCAACATAAGCGCAAGACGAGCAGCCCAGGAAAGGACGTATACGTCGACGTCCGACTCACGAGGCTCCACGTCAGGGCATAGCAGCACGAGGTAGATGAGAGGTTTATAAAGGTAGTGGCAGCCAGTATCGCGATGGAGTCAGCTGCTGGAGGGGGACCGCGCGGAGCAGGGGGGGGCGCGAGCCCGGCGCAGGAAGCCCACGGACCGCGTGGCGCCTTGGAGACGCCGGTCGAGGACGGTCCGGGCGGGGACGCTTGGAGACCGATAGGTGCGACTGCCAACGGCGGCGACATCGCCCAGCCTAGGCAGGGCGAAGCGGACATGGGAATAGGGTGGAACGGCCACACCACGCCGCAGCCGAGTGTCGACGAGGGCGCGAAGCGCAGGCGGGGAAGACCACCGAGGCAGCAGAGACTCCAAGCCGACGCAAGGCAGCAGGTGTTGCGGCGTATCCAGCCCCGGCCGACACCGATCGCAGCCGGTCTCACACCGCCGCCGAGCGAGGGCGGCCCGCCTAGAGGCCAGCAGGCGCCGCGGCACATCCGGGCTCGGCCGGTTCTGAGGGCGGGAGTCCACGCGGCGCCCCCACCGAGGCGGGACCGAGCGTCGGAAGCACGGACAGCCAACAAGCCGGTACGGTCGCAGAGCGAGGCCAAGGCGCATGAAGACGGCTAACGGGGCGCAGGCAGGACAATGAATCGGCAGCCCGGGGGAGAGCGGAAGAGGAAGGGCCGCACCCCCGGCGGGCAGGCCGAAGGAAATGCTCCCGGTCCGGGTGGGCCAGAAAACCCCAAGACGGAGGGCTGCAGGCCGAGGACCTAGCCAGCGTACTGCAGCACCTCGAGGAGGAGTTCGCGGCGGGCGAGAGGCTCGCAGACGAGCAGACGTGGTGCATGCCGGTGCCGCGCGCGAGGCAGGTGCGAACGGTGCAGAGGTTCTACCGGGCGTTCCACGACGCCGGCACGCTACCGGTCTTGACCTGCAAGGTATGTTACCGGAAGCGGTCAAGAGAGGAGCTAAGGAAATGGCGTGGGAGGTGGCCATGGCGGAGCCCGTCACGGAGGGCGGCCGGTCTCTATTCGCGTGCCGAAGCTGCTTCCCCGAGGGCCGGGCGGTGCCGGTATGCGCAGAGTGCGCGCGGTGCCTCGGGCGTGAGAGGGCTTCGCCTGGCATGCACCTCCACGGCCGGCTCGGCTGCGAGCACGCGTACCCCGACGAGCTCAAGGGCCTCACGCCGGTCGAGGAGAAGCTGATCTCGCTCAACTCGTGCTACGGCTTCGTGACGAGGTATAGCATCCCCGGCGGGCAGAGGCAGAGCGTGAGGTATCCGAGGCACGTCAAGGGCCATATCACGGTATTCCCGAATGACGTGCAGGGGCTGGTGACCAGGTGCTCCCGCACCCGCTAGTCCGGTTATGGACGAGATCCATGTCTCGTGGCAGGGGGCCGAGAAGCCGGGGCCACGCGACCTGTCGGGCCTCCTGTCGGTAAGGCGGCGGGCGGTCGAGAGGGCGCTCGTCTGGCTTAAGGAGAACAACCCGCTCTACGGCGAGGTCGAGATCGACGTGGCGGAGATGGAGAGCTGGGGGCGCCGCCGCACGGGTGCCGTCGGTGGTATGCGAGCGCCTGGAGCGAAACGAGCCGTCAGCGCGGGAGAGGACGCGGACCGCGCAGGTGGTGCCGCCGACGGAGCGGGCCATGGACGACGAGGGCGCGGTCGAGATCGAGGAGATCCTCGTCATGTTAAGCCAGGGGCGGGATCCCGCGGAGAGGAGTCGCGACGTCAGGCCCACGTGCGACGACGAAGAGGACGGCGCTAGGCCCGAAGAGGGCGGGAAGTAATCAACGAGGTGACGTCGTCCGGCATGTTCCCGCTCGACGGGCCGCCAGGGTGGCGGACGCCGAGAAGATTCGCTTCGCCCGCGACGCCGTCGGGCCCGACGGAGCGCGCGCCCGCGCAGGCCCGAGGACGTGGGTGGGGACGGCGGCCGGAGGGGCGGCGCGCGGCGGCGATGGCGACAAGTACGAGCCCTATATCCAGGTACGGCGCGGCAACGAGTTCGCCGACTCGGCGGACGCCTCCTTCTTCGCCAAGACCTTCCCGACGCTATTTCCCTTTGGCGTGGGGCCGAGGCTCGCCGACGAGGCCGCTACCCGTGGAAGCGAGACTACCGGGTGGCGGGGCCGGGCTGCCGAGGCGGAGCGGGTCGCGGAGGGCCTCACGTCGACCCGGAACATGAACCTCCAAGCATGGGCCGACGTCGTGCTACGGCGCCACGGCGGCCGGTTCGCGACGCATCCCATCTTCGCCTTCCTAGTGTTTAATATGGGGTGCGGTCTAGGAACCGCCAGGCCAGTATGCTAGGCGTAACGAGGAAGAACTTCGCAAAGGTCGAGGGTCTACTAAAGTCGTTAACGACGCAGAGGCTCGAGGCGGCGAGGGTCGAGCTCGAGGCCACGGGCAAGACCGGCGACGACGGGGTAAAGGAGCTCCTCCGGTCCCTATCGGTGTTTGGCCACCGGCAGCCGATGTCGAGGGAGAGCCGCCTAAGTATGCGGAAGAAGATACTATCTCTCATCGTCAGATACGGGGTGCCGGCCATTTGGTTCACGCTAAACCCGAACGATATTACGAACCCGGTAAAGCTACGGCTGGCGGCGTACCGCGCCCGCGACCCCGAAGCGGCCGAGGCCTTCCTAAGAGAGCTAGGGACTGCGTATAAGCGGGTGCGGCTGGCGATAGCGGACCCGATGAGCGCGGCCGTCTTCTTTCACCGGGAGATAAAGCTCTTCTTCGAGCATTACGTCGACGTCGGGGACGAGTCGGTGTTCGGGCACGTCGGGGCGTACTACGGGGCGGTAGAGACGAACGAACGAGGTGCTCTCCACCTCCACGGGCTTCTCTGGCTAAAGGGCAATGCGCGCCTCGGCGAGGCGCTGGCCGGCGCCGGCGGCGAGCAGGCAGCGTACCGGGAGCGAATAATCCGCTACGTAGACAGCGTCTTCTCCGAGGTAAGGCGGACGACGTCTGGGGCGTAGCCTCCGGCTCCGTCGAACGCAGACTAAAGGGGCCGAAACTAACCCTAGGCCGTAGGAGCTAGACGCAGAAGGGCACCACGCTGTGCAGGCGGAGCGGTCGATCACGGCGCACATGTCGTCGTGGCTTGACGACGTCGAGCGCTTAACGGACGCGTTCGACGAGGAGGCCAACTTCTGCGCCGGCGCGACGCAGGTCCACACGCATAGCGCGACCTGCGTCAAGTACTCGCTCGCGGGGGCCGGTCGTAAGGGCGACCTCTGCCGTTTTAAGGCGCCCTGGAGGCTAGTAGAGAGGACGGCGCTCACGGCGGACGGCGTGCTGGAGATCCGGCGGACACATAGCATGGTGAACCGGTGGAACAAGGCGATGGCGGTAGGGCTGCGGCACAACCACGACATCTCGTTCATCGCGACGCAGCGCAAGACCATGGCCCTGATCTACTACATCACCAACTATGCGACTAAGGTAGAGGACCCTACGTGGAAGCGGGTGGCCGCCGCGGCCGAGTTACTCCCGACCTTAGAGCCGACAGCGAGAGCAGTATCCCCAGCGCCGACCGCAACGATAGCGGGGGAACGGAGCCGGAGAGGAGGCCGCGGCGGACCTATAAGGGGAACAAGACGAGGGTGTTCCTACTAAAGGCGGCGAACCGAATCTTCACGGAGCGCCCGCTATCCCAGGTCGAGGTGATCGCCGACCTCCTGGGGTATCCGCGGAGTTTTGCAGCGGCGCGGCGTGGGCGTACGTGAACACGAACCAGCTCTACTGGGCCGTCTTCCGCCAGTGGCGGCACCTCCGACTGGCGAGCGGGGTAGAGGCGACGGCGAGCGACGCGCCGGACGAGACGGTCGTCGTCGAGGAGGCGGGGCCGAGGATCTCCTTCATCGAGGCCTACCGGCATAGAGGCGGGCTCCTACAGGGCCTCTGTCTCTACGACTACGCGTCGCTCGTAAGGCTGAAACGGAATGGCGGAGGCGCCGAGGGCTGCGCGGCCTGGGGCGAGATACCCTTTAACGAGAGCTGGGCTCCGGGGAAGGACTGGGCGCAAGTGCTCAGACGGCCGGGTAAGGGGGCGAGCGTACGCCTAGACGGGTACCTCAGTAAGGAGTTCGGCGAGGAAGACGAGTCATGTCATCGGAGGTACGTATAGCAAAGCCGAGGGCGTACCGTCGGACGGCGACGCGGCCCGTGGCCCGGCTAACGGTGCAAAGGGCGGCGGTGCAGCATCTAGCGCTGTTCGTGCCGTGGGAGGCATTCGTCTGCGAGGAGACGGGCGACATCAACGACATCTGGGCGCGGGAGCGGGCGGCGCTGGCGCCGAGGATCGCGCGGCTCGCGGACAACGTACAGCTGCTCCGGCGGTCGGCGGAGGACGCCAAGCGCGACGCCAGGCAATGGGCCGCTACGACCGAGGAGGGCGAGCCGGCGGCGGCGGCACGCGCCAACGAGGGCGCGGAGGAGGCGGCCGAGGGGGGCGGGCAGGTGTACCGCGCCGGCGGCGCAGGCGACGCGGCGCGGCTCATCGACGTTGTCCGGAACGCCGCCGGCGCGGGCCAGGTAACGGCGCGGTCGGCGGAGCTGCTGGCGATGACGCAGCAGCTCTGCCGGTTTCAGCAGTCGGCGCTCTCGTCGGCGGCCGAGCTCGATGCGACGGTGGTGGCGGGCGAGGCGGGGCCGAGGCGGGTAATCCTCGCGGGGTCGACCCTCTCCGGGGCGGCGCTGCCGCGGCAAGGGCAGGTAAGAGCCATCAAGTCGCAGCAGAGGAGCGCCGCGCGGGAGCGGGAGCGGGCGATCCAAGGAATCCAGGGCGGCGCGGCGGCGTCGGCGCCCGGGGCCGACCGAGTGCGGCGCTACGCGGGGTGATGGGCGGCTTCGGCGAGGACGACGTCGAGGTGACGGCAGCGGACGCCGACGCGGGGATGCGTGTGCGGCTCGGCCCGTCGAGCTCGTTTGTCGCCGCCGGCAGGCTAGCGGGCCGGCTAACGCTTAACGAGAAGCAGTCGATCGCCCTCCTCATCATATGCCGCCAGCTCGATCAGGCCCGGCAGGGCGGCGACGCCGGCGACAGCGGCGACGCCGGCCAGCTCTGTCTATTCGTCGGCGGCGAGGGCGGTACCGGCAAGTCGCGCGTCATTGAGGCGCTCGTCGAGCTGTTCGCCCAGAGGGACCTATCGAGCCAGCTACTAATCACGGCGACATCGGGGACGGCGGCGGCGCGGATCAACGGCATCACCCTGCACTCGGCCTGCGGCCTCTTGGTCGGCCAGGGCGGCCAGGCGGGGTCGGCGAGGAGGTAGACGGGGTGCGGCTGCCGGGACAGGGCGAACGCTTCGTCGACGGCCGGTCGCGGATGGACTGGCAGGAGAAGGAGGTGCTGGTGATCGACGAGGTCAGCATGCTCGGGGCGCGCACGCTGCACGCGGCGAACGAGCAGCTCTGCCGGCTGCGGGGCTCGCCGCGGGACTTCGGCGGCATCCCGGTAGTCATCCTCTGCGGCGACTTCCATCAGTTCCGGCCGGTGCAGGAGCGGTCGATCCTGCTGCCGAGCGCGGCGGTGCCGTGGGACGCGGACGGCGCGTTCGCGGCCGAGCGGCGGCGGCAGCACGATAAGGCGCACGCGCTATGGAGGAAGTTTACGACGGTCGTCATGCTCGACGAGCAGATGCGCGCCGCCGGCGACCCGGAGCTACGGCGGCTGCTCGGGCGGATCCGGCGGGGGGAGCAGGACCGGTCGGACCTAGACCTCCTCAACTCGAGGTGCTACCGGGCGGGCAGGCGGATACCGTGGGAGACTGGGGTGACGGTGGTGACGCCGCTTATGACGGCGGCGCAGGCACGGCTAGAGAGGCTCAGTGAGAGGACCGTCGGGGAGGCGCTACGCTGGCTCGGCGATGACCTCCCGGGGCCGCGGGGAGGGACAAGACGAGACTGGGGGGGGATAAATAGATAGAACGCCCAACTATTTCCTCATTAGGCCCGAGCCGCAGAACCACCGTTCTCACAAAACCTCGGCGGGGGCAAGTTCTATACGTCTTCTTCCAAGACACCCCAAAAGAAAGGCAAAGGGCCCGGCTAGGAGTGATAGGCGGCCGAGAGGGCGGACGAAACAGGGCCGTTCCATCAGAAAAAAAGGAGGCCGGAGGAAGGAGCGGTAAGCAGTCGAGGTTGCGGGGAAGCTTTCAAACCATGATAATTTCCTTTCCGACCAATCAAAAGGGAGGAACCCGACCAATCAGAGGACGGGAGTTTGGGGGGAAAAAAAATTGGGTTGGGTGGTCGCGCGATAAGAAGAGGCCTTTCGTTCCTCAAGGCACGCGCGATAAGAAGAGGCCTTTCGTTCCTCAAGGCACGCGATAAGAAGAGGCCTTTCGTTCCTCAAGGCAATTGTGGAGCAAGAAATACACGAGAAATCGCGGTTGCAGTGGAGTGGGTAGTCAACGCGATGGTGATGTGGAGACGTGGCCAAGATGGTGGGTGGCGAAGATTAGGTGCGCTGACTTACCGAGCTCCTTAGGAGGTCCCCGTTCGAATAGGAGATCTTCCGGACCCCTCAGTGGTCTAGGAAGAAGAAATAACAGTCTCCAGACTTCCCTTACTTGGATTCAAGCTGTGTTACCTAGAGAGACCTAGAGACCTCAACTCGTTCGGACCTTCTTCTCTACAGCCTTCGGCTGAATGATGCATTACAATGTGCTTTTTCTTGCTAGTTGCGAGATGCCGCGTTCTTTTTATTCTTGGCAATGTTGTGCCTGTTTTTAGTACCGGCTCTAAAACATGTTTCTTTTTATATATCCTTACATCTTTCGTAACAGAGGTTATCGTGAAAAAAGAAAAAGGAAGAATGAAAACTGCCGCCCGTTTCTCTCACCCCAGGTTTTAGCTAATGCGGCTGAGCTGGGTCAGTGTGGCCCAGGTGTTACAGCTTGTGTCAAACACGATGGTGGAGTGACCTGCCATTTCTCCTCGCCATCTACAGTGACAAGCTGTCGCTTGTAGCCTTGTCCCAATCTTTTTGGGAACAGACGGCGATTCCGTACATGTACGAGAGACGCGTCCAGGGCTAAGCAGGGGGTTGGGGTTATTTGATATACCATGTTGGCGCCAAGAAACGGCTTGATCGACGAACTATCAGCCCTGAATGCCAAGAAAATAGCTGGACCTATAGTACATGCTATTTCTGGTGTCGGAAGTCTCAGCTAAGCTCGCTACCTGCGTCTTGTTGATGCAGCCCTTTAGCTTGCCGGCCTTTCTCTTAGACCATCAGTGCTTGACTACCCCGAGAAGGGATAGCCAAGTGCGGCTCGGAAGACTCGCTCTCGATGGGAGCGCGCTCCTGCTTGATCTAGACGATTACGCCAAGACGCCAAAGCATTCGGTCAGGGGCGAGGCGGTCAAGCTGAGAGCAGCCTCGTTAGTCCTCGATGTTCCGAGCGGCGGATGATATCTATATAAACAGCAAGTTCGGCGAAGCCACTCTCACATTCTCTCCTCCTCATCACATCAAGTCTTTCAATACACTCAATTCACTCATTTATTTTTACCTCTCGCCCAACATGCTCATCAAGCAGTTCCTCCTCGCCGCCCTCTTCACCATGGGCTCGGTCACCGCCAACCCGGTGGCCAACCCCGACAACGTCGAGATTGAGGCTCGGGACGTCGGGAATTTCGACATCGAAGCCCGGGACCTCGGAATGGCCGATGAAGGCAACCTGGTTGCCCGAGACGGCCGTCACCACGGCCACCGCCACGGAGGCCACCGTCACTGGGGCCATCGCCACTGGGGTCACCGCCACGGAGGTTACCGTCACCGTCACCGCCACCACTGCCACCGCTATGGCTACGACTGGCACCATGGTTACAACAGGTGCTGCAGCTTCCGCTACGGACGCAGCTGGGACTGCTACTAGTCGATCGTCGCAATGGGTCACGAGCGGCGATGACGGGGAAATGAGTTGGATGGGGGATTGGGATATTGAGGTGGTGCGGCAGCTTCTCTTTCTCCATACATGCAGTCACTTGGTTACATGTATGTGTGTATATACTTCCCGCTCTGAGCCAAGCATCAATACATGCATCTCTGAATATGCCGTAGTGTACATGTCAGCCTTGCCTCATGATTTCGCCGATTCCCTCCCCTTGCTCCAAGTCTTGGGCTTGTTTACCCTCAACGGTATCGCCTTGGCGCCTGAACCCCAGATGTGAGAGCTGAGAATATACTACTTGGGCAGAAAATGAAGCATACAATATACCGGAAGTTTGAACTTCACTTGAGCTCCTCGGCAGAAAGCAGTGATCGGAATGGTCTGGTCTGGTCTAGACCGCCAAGACTTGGTCTGGTTTGATGATTTCTCGAGACCATGGTCGGACCGGTCGGACCGGTCGGACCAATAACTGCTAAGATACCTGGGTTGCCGCCGAATACGCCGTCACAGGAGTAAGCAAAGCTGTAAATTTATGTGCTACGAAGGCTGTGCTTGGAGAGGATTGGGAGCCAAGTGCGATTTTCAAGACGCGTGAAGGGCCGGGCGACGCCCTGTTCCAACCCCTTCGGAGGCGACAAATTTGCCGTTGTAGGCCCATCTTGAAACGATGTCGTGGCATCGGCCTGTTTGCCACAAACCTTCTTATGGACCTTCCAGTCTGCCTTCTGGCAATCCCTGGAGCAGTACGGCGTGGTGGAACATTTCGCGCACCTCTTGAGGGCGACTTCAGGCGGCGACTTCTTGCAGCTATTGCACTCAAGGGCCATGGTGACCTAATTCCCATGACCAAATCGTGAAGATTGCGTTCTGAAAAAAGGTCGAATCAATTTGAAGCTCATTTTATGCCGCAGGGAGAAGATGGGGGGTAGCTTAGGCTTAAACGGGTAAGGTGCTGTAATGGGTTCAAGCAGCCGCACTCCCACCTCTCTTCTCCAACAGACTTGTCCAAGAACCAAACCGAATGCTCGCGCTCGGTTATGCCCAACTCTCGTCCCGTTCCTCAAGGCATTGGCGGACCCTGAAAGGGGCCGGTCTCCTGTTGCCTTGAGGAACGAAAGGTTCTTCCTTCCGTGCCTTGAGGAACGAAGAGACGAAAGGATCCTTCTTCCGCCCCCTCCGTAAGCTCGGGCCACTTAGCGCCCCGTGCGAGCTGCGCCAGCCTTCACCGCCACCTTCCACTCGGCTTCATGCCTTTCCCGAGCCACACAACAACTTCTCCCCTCCCTCTTTTTCCGTTCTCGCCTCCACCGCCCGCGTTGACCGCTCCGGCTCCGGCCCCGCCGGCCCCGCTGCCCGGCCCCGCTACCCGGGCCGGAGCCCTACTTCGACCATGGTCCAGCCAGGCCCCCCGATTGTCCATTTGGATACGGATCCTGTGCTGGGAGACGGTCTACTCTACCCCAGAAATCGACGTCATGGGGCCCTTGTCGTATGGGCAAGGACGCCATCCACTCCGCCAAGAACCGTACAACACATGATTGGCCCTCCCGTTTTGCGGGATGCTTCTAACCCTAAGCCCCTCACTTCGTAACCGCCGCCATCCCCTGCGATAGCGGAGCCATGAACCCGACGTCTCCGTCTGCCCATCTATCCTTCACGCAAGCACACCGCGAGCCCTCTGAGCTTCGGCAGACTACCCCGTCCATGAGCATTCGAAACCTTTGCTGAGTTTCTCGATCACATGTCGTGGTCGCCGTCTTGCTCCCAGGTGCCAGTAATAGACTGTTTCTTTCCTTCTTCCATGCACTCGTTCGGAACCATCCCCTTGCACCATGCCGCGAGAACACCCAGCCACGGTCTCACCCGAAGAGTTCGCCGCACCTTAAGGGATCTTGAATCGCGCCGGTCCTATCAGCGCCGGTCACAGACTGTCAGAGTTCCCCATGACGAGATCCTCCGTGTCTTGCACGATATGGATCGCCGGCGCGCCGAAGACCAAACCCGCCGCCGTGAAGCTCAATACCAATATGCCGCACACACGCAGCCGCCAGCCACTCCATCACCAAAACGACCTAGAGAAGAGCAAGCACTTCCCACTCCACCGCCCACGCAGCCAAGGCGCTCCCCAAAAAGACCCCGGCCGATGCGAGAAACCGTTCAACTCCAGCGGGACTCTGTCGAGTCCACTCTACATCACTATGACGCCTGTTTCCGCGTCAAGGAGCTTGCGTCATCAACGCGATCCTGGTGCCACGAAGTTCCACTTGCCCTTCAGGTTGAGGCCTCCAAGTCTTTCTACCAAGCGTTTACGGACGAGAGGACGTTGCCGGTCTCCCACTGCGTCTTCTGCTACAGGAAGACATCGCCTTGCGAACTCACCACCATGCAGTGGAGGGGTTGTCTGTCGCCCTTGCTGCTACAGACGGCCATGGCTCTCCAGGAGTGTGATGCGTGCCTTCCGTCGCACGAGGGCGCCGGAGTTGACGTGTGCCGCGAGTGTCGCGCCAGCTTCGACAGTGGGCGGCTGCCTAAGGCCTGCTCGGTCAACAACATGGCCATCGGTTGTGAGCACCGGTACCCCGAAGAGCTTGATGACCTCTCTCCCGTCGAAGAGAGACTCATTGCCCTGCATGCACCTTTTGGCTATATCACTAAGTTCACCGTCGACAACAAGACCCGTTCGGGAATCAGTTACCGCAAGCACGTGAAAGGACATATTGTCGTCTTTCCGAACAAAGTGGACGATCTCGTGGCCACGGTTCTTCCTCATCCCTTGCTGCAGGCCATCGAGAACATTCACGTCTCTTGGAGCGGTTCGGCTAAGCCTGGCTCCGCAGACGTCAGAAACCTGCTTCAGGTGCGCAAATCTCGAGTGGCAGCTGCCTTGGCATGGCTACAAAGGAACAACCCGCTTTATGAGGGTATCGCAATCAACCAAGCAGAGATGGACGGCTGGCAGTATGCCGACGGCTCCACTGTTCCGACCGTCATCATGGACCGCATGCGAAGAGAGGAACCGTCGACTGTTGAGAAGACACAAACGGACCACATAGTCCCGGACACCGATCGAGGCTTGCAGGAAAACAGCTTTAGAAGCATCGATGAACTGGTGAACTCGATCGATCCTACTTTCATCGCCGAATCTTGCGATTTGAACTGTACTCTGTCGACCGAGCAGACTCAACCCTCTCCTGGTGAGCCGGTGACTCTTGTCCCCGACTCGGCTGCCATCGGCCAGGAAGTGGACACTGTCTGTGAGACGTCTACATCCGGCATGTTTCCTCTCGATGGTCCGGCTGCCTTCGCCGAGTCCGATAAACTGTCGTTTCTGGCCGACATCGTCAACGCCAATCCGGATCGACATGGCAACTCTGTGCTGTGCGTTATGCAGGTCCAAACTACGGGAGACCAGCCGTTTGTCCGAGTAGAGCGTGGTGCGGATTTTGCAGACAACTTGCACGAAGATTTCTTCCCTCGAACATTTCCCAAGCTTTTTCCGTGGGGAAGGGGCGGCCCGAAATCGAAGGGCGACTCGAGTCGTAGCCGACAAAGCGACGCTGCCGACAGTCGTCCGAACCACTCTCTTCAGTACTGGACCAGATACGTATTGCAACGGCATGGTGGCCGATTCGCCACCCATCCTGTCTTTTGTTTCTTAGTCTTCAACACCCTCCTTCGCTCCTCCAACCGCCGCATCAGCATGGTCCGTGTCGCTAAAGATTCCTTCCACAGGCTCGAGCAAGCGTATGCGAACTTGAACGAGGACCGACTGAAGAGAGCCGAGGCGGAGATGCGGGAGACAAGGACCACGTCGGACCCTGACATATCGGTCTTGCTTCGCGAGCTGTCGATTTTGGCCACGCACAGCCGCTCTCGAACGAATCCCGTTTGCTTATGCGGAGGAAGATACAAGCTGTTAACATTTGGGCCGGTATGCCTGCAGTTTGGATTACCATCAGTCCCAACGACATTAATAATCCGATAAAGATGAAGCTTGCCATTCATAGGCTGCACGATTATGACTCTGCAAAGGAGCTTTTGGCCGATCTCCGTGAAAAGTACGACAGAATCGCCCTCAGCACCATGGATCCGGTCAGCTCGGCCATCTTCTTCCACCGAGAAATATCCTATTCTTTGACAAATACGTGAATACAGGCCGGGAATCGATCTTTGGGAAGATTAGCCACTACTACGCGACGGTGGAGACGAATGAGCGAGGCAGCCTCCACTTACATGGACTCCTCTGGCTGGAGGGCAACATGCGGTTACCGAACCTGATGGACGATATGGCCAATCCCGCGGAAGAAGCATACCGTGCCCAAGTGATCCGGTATGTAGACTCTCCCGGTCGGGACAGTGCTCATCCGACCCATGTCGCATACGCTCGATTCGACTAGCTCTCACTTCAAATTCTTGTCGGCAAGATGCACACGACGTGGATTACCCGTTGCGCCAGCGTTCGTTCTCACTGACTATAAATCTCAGGGTAAAACGTTTGTAGAAGTACTCTTGGAGCTGCGTGGAAATCGTCTGACCAATGGCGAACCCTCCAAATGCGATTTCACGAGCCTCTATGTTCAACTGTCCAGGTGTACTACGCTCCATGGCATCAAACTCCTCAGTCCCGTGAGATACCAGGATTTTATTGACAATACGCTAGATCGAGCCATGCTTGATGGAATGCGCAGACTCACAAACTTGGCGGCGCAAACGAGACGGGCATATGAGGGTGGCGATTTAGAAAAGCAGTGACACTGGTCAATCCGATCGTTCCTGTACGCCTTTTCGTGCGTGGAAGAGTCACACCTGATAAGGTGACCGGGCCGCACGCCAATCATCCGGATCTCGCTCCCCTCCCTTCCCAGGACGTAAGCGCTTTTGCTCCTCACAATAATTTACCCACCATTTCTCGAACGCCTGGCGGCTGTAAAGCCATCTCGGCGGCCCTTCTCCTTCCCCGAACAGGTCGAGGATATGGTCGCAGAACATCCACACTCCTTCAAGATGCTGCGGATAAAATGGCCTGTCCTTGCGCGCGACCACGACGGTGCCAACTTGTGACTGCCATTCTGGAGGTGCAAACCCGGAGTCGGCATCAATATTGAGGTACGTAGCAATCTGGTTGTCGAGGTCTGCCTCGTTGACGGACTGAGTCCCCGTCCGATAGAGGACCAGCGGGACCTCGATGAGCGCTGGGACGGAGGCACCGACTGCGAAAACATATCATGATTCGCAGGGATTGTAGTGGCAGACCAGAGGGGAAACTTGCGTTTCTCGGCCTCGCATCGGACAATGACAGCTTCGACATGCCCCGACTTGCTGTGCGTTTCCCTCAAACCTGACGTACCCATCGGCGGCGAGGCATGCGTGGCCGGCGGGGTGGGTTTTGCCGCTGGCGCTTGCTGGGGCGATGTCTCTGGCTCCATGAATTGATCTGCCGGCTTCTTCTGCTTGCAGTTCTGCAAGTTTTCGTTGAAGGAATAGAATCAGCCATGAGTGTGTTGGATTGGAGGGATGGTTTGATGAGGAAGAATGAGAAAGGACTGGCCCCTGGCGACATGCGTCGTTGGCAGGCCGACAAACACCCTTCAATCCGGGCGTTGAGTGGAGACTATGGAGACACATCTGACCAATGATAGTAGAGTTTTCGAATTCAAGTTATCGTCGTAATAAAGTCCTTCGGACTGAATAAAACCTAGCGCCTGCCTCCCCCGCCCCTGGTTAGGGTTCAAGGCCGCAGCCGTTTGGGGACTTCATTTTCCAATTCCTTCCTATGCTTGGCAAGGAGCTTGTCGGTCACTTCCAGAGTCGTTGTCGTCGTCGTAGACACGCCCGAAGGCGATTGGAAAGTGACACTGCCATCTTTCTCAATGACGATGGATGTGTCGTGATCCCCCTCCCGTAATATGTGCTGCTTGAACCCAGCCGTTGTCGCTTGATTGGCTACAAGACCCGTGATGACCTTGCCGACTAAGAAGCCTGCAGCACCGCCAGCTGCTGAACCTGGAATGCTAGGTGCTCCCCCTGCCACTGCCCCTAACCCCCCTCCGAGCATCCCTCCTACTCCCAGCCGACGAACGGTATTATATCCGAAATGGATTTCTCAAACCAATCAACGGCGCCGCGAAAGTTATTGGGATCTGTATAGGTAATGGTAGTGGCATTGTTGCTTGTCCAGCAGATTTTCCACCAGTCTCCGCCGGTAGTCCAAAAGCCCGTATGATATTCGACCTTTAAATCTTCTGTCCTGCTCCTGGTGCAAGCCTGTTGATGGTGTATTTGTCAACAAAGACATCGCTATACTTATGCACGACTGATAATCCCTCGAGCGGGTTCTGGCTTTTATTATCGACATGGACAGTTGCACTTCTCTTCGCAGTACCGGTAAGCCCAGGGGACACTTGAACGAGCAAGAGCAAGGCGAAGAAGATTGACTTGATTTCCATCACGGAAGAGCGTATAAGGTCTCGCGAAGGAGAGAGCAAAGTGGGCATAAAAGTGGATAAAGGACTTTTCGAAGGTCGAGTATCATACCGGTACGATTAGATGGTATGTGAAAATGCATGTGTTCATTGCTCTCTTCGGTTTCCCGTATCCGTCTAGCCCTCCCATTTTATATCCCTCTGTGCCTTCCCTATGTTCATATCCCGTGTTCAGGTATAATATACATTCTATCAGGAAGAGGGCACTCCTTGCCTCTCACTGTAGGCCGCGTAAGTCATCTACGCCAGCACATTCAGCTCGATCTCCCCGATCAATAGCTTTCCAAGCTATTAGGTCGATAGTTCAATCTCTTGAGGTCCCCGAGCCAGTAAAAGATAATATACCGGACTCTTTGAAGGATCCCGTTCGAATAGGAGATCCTCCGGACCCCTCAGTGGACCACAAACCTCCCTCCTTACCTGGTTTCGAGCTGTATTACCTAGAGAGACTTAGAGGCCTCTCGCTTGGTTCGGACCTTCTTCTCGACAATGTACGGAGGAAGCTTTCAAAAGTCCTGTCCCGGCAGGGGGGCAGACAGGGGAGCTTGCAGGGAGGGGGGGGGGTTGATATGACATGGGCCCTGGCTGTAACGGTTCAGCAGGTTCAATTACAACATGCTACTCGTGCCCGCCCCACCTTTCTGGATTCGGTTCAAGTAGCAGTGTGTTTATCCCTCATATTGTTGAAAGTGGAGCTAGTGCGTAAATTACTCGCCACTAGGGGGTTTTGCACGACTCGGGAGATAAAGACCCACTACGGAGTACTCATTTTCTATCGCTCACATGAGTGGTTTTTCATGGAAAATATGTTCGGCAAGGACAGTGGTAGGTTTAGTCTTTTTTGCCCTCATATAGATATTAACTCATTGCTCTGAGCTACATTTGGACGAGATTGGGGTCCAGACTTTAAGTCGGGTGATGCAGGCCATGCGGGACGAATATTACCACGTGCAAAGCCTGATATACTGTGTTTAAATGAGCTTGGCAGTGACACCGAGGTACTACGACCTAGTCGCCGAAGTGGGGAAGGTGGTGATGCCACATCAAACTTTGCCACGTCGAACCTTGCCACATCAAACCTTGCCGCATCAAAACTTGCCACGTCAAACCATGCCAAATAAAACCTTGCCATATCAAACCATCAAACATTGCCGTTCTAAACCTCGTCATTCCAGATTCAGCGACTCTTACTCAACCTCGCTTGCATTGTATTGCATTAGTTACTGTTGGGGAGTCCTGTAGCTTCCGTTCCTAGAACAAATGCGAATGGCCAATTTCAACCTTCATTATGCTCAACAGGCGCTTCCCGCTGTCCCGGAAAATCGTTAAGTTACAGAATGCTGACGCAGCCACCGACGACGTCAGAAATGAATCACTCTCTTTGGGGTGTCACATTACGTAGTGCAGCAGCTCGAGCGTCAAGACCAGGCTGCGCGATGACGCTACGGAAGGCCGCGACTATCCGTCGGATTTTGTGGGTGTATCAAGCTACGACACGGCCAGAGTCGAGTTAGACGAGAAAGCTATCAATGAATTGGGGATGGCGTCCGCAAAGCATGTGTTCCTTTGCGGGGCTACTAAGTGGACTGCAGCCATTCCATAATCCATCGTATCACGGGGCAGACCTAGGATGCCAGGGAAGATCTATGTTGTGCTGTGAGGAGGGCAAACTACGGAGGTGGAACAGAGTCTAGACTAAGTATAGGGAGGCACGTGACAGAACCCAGGTTGGTGCCGTGATAGTACCCCCTTCCCAAACGGCTGTTCGTCCTCGAACAGCCTAAACGACCAAGAGCGGCCTGGGCACAAAGTATATCGTTGTGCCTTTTACCTCTTTGCCCAGACCGGGGGGCCTGGCTTGTTTGGGTGAACTCTATGAAAGTCGAGGAGTACTTGGTTAACAGACTTGCAAATAGATAAATCAAATCAAATCCGGGGTCCAATTTGATTTGATTTGGATAGCAAAATCATGGATCTGATTTGATTTGATTTGATTTGAATCGATTTGGATCTCATTTGGATATCTGGATAGCCCCACTTTTTTCCCACGACAAAATACATTGAGCCGCTCCTATAAGGTCCGCTTTGATAAGGTCCGCTTTGAGGCGGCCTCTCTGAGCTGCGGCCATCTGTCCGGCAAGGCTAAATATTCTCTCCGGCTCTGAAGACATCGCCGGAATGGAAAAGAGGTCGATTGCCATTCGCGACAGGCGTGGATATTGGCGTCTGCGGAGAAGCCAGTACTGGATGGGATTGTCCACAAGACAATCGCCCGGATCGGTACTGCCCACCCATTCTGCGTACTCGTCACGCATGGAGGACGGTGAGGGCGCAGGTTGGGCGCCAAGTTTCCTAATTGAGGTCATGAAGTCATCTAGGTCCGTTGTCTTCCTTGCAGCTGTGGGCTCCTCGGGTATCGTATCTTGCTCGACCGCGAGGGTTCGGTACTCCTCCCATATGCGCCATTGCAGCAGTCAAGTGCAGAGCTGTCCCATTTTGGCCATCGGCTACAAATATCTCCCCCCGTAATATGGCAGATGCACCCAAAGATATATTTCACGATCAAACGTGTCAGGTAAAACACAAAAAGAAAGCTTGGTGACACGGCCTGGAAAAGCAACTGCCCGTAATTAGCGACCACTCTAGGCCAGGCAGGGCTGGCTCCCCAAAACTATTGGCCCAGGTCGCCATTGTGGGGCGTATCCAAATAATCAGATATCCAAATAAATTTGGGTGTTGCGATTTGATTTGATTTGATTCAGCGCAGGGGCAATTTGATTTGATTTGATTTGGATTAATTTGATTTAATTTGATTTGATTTGATTATGATTTATCTATTTGCAAGTCTGCTTGGTTATGTCCTTTGAGGTCTCCAGCCGGTTGCCAGGTAGGATCATAGTGTTTCCACTTGACTAGGTAATGTAGGCCATCAGCGTCTCTGCGGCTATCTAGTAGCCCGTCAAATAGCCATTTTTCGACTAGTTCTCCTGTCTCGTCATCGCGTTCTAGGACTCGTCCTCGGATGTTTTTTGACTCGGCCTCGTTGATAACGTCTTGGCCGGGTAGACCATTTGCTTCTGGTTTTGGTCGTAGGAGCGAGTTGTGGAACACGGGAAATATCTTCATTCCCTCGGGGAGTTTAAGCAAGCATGAACGAGGGTAGACTTTCAGAATTGGGAATGGTCCTGCCTGTCAAAAGGAAATGAGAGATGCCATGCATATGACGGTTATAGAGAGTCTATTGGCCTTAACACTGCCCAAGTCAAGGGGACGAAGGTCCCAGTTATATACACAAGAACGGTGCCCATATGGGTCGGGACACCTCCTCGACTGGGGCGGAATGTCGTTTGACAACCTTGTCCTATGGTTCGCGCTACGATGTTTGGAGAAAGCGTGCCGTTGCGCCAGGTGTGAGTCGAGACAAAGATACGGATATGCCGCTTGTTGAAGCGCGCCCAGCCCACGACAGCTTCCATGTTGAGAGCCCACCGGGTGCGGTTCAGTGGCGTTATAGCACGCAAACCATCGTGGAAGGTGATTTGGGAGCGTCCTACGATGTTGGCGTTGAGCAAGTCGAGGTCTTGCTGTGTCTGGCGCCCGTTACGAACTCGATCCAGGAGTGCGCGGAGCTGGGGATCGTTGCGTGCGCGGACTTGGTCTTCGAGGAGCACCACGGTTTTGAACAGATGCCACAATCTGCAGCCGCTGTGGTGAGAGATGGTCGCTTGTCGCAGGTTGGTCTCCGTTCGGTCCGGCGGTCTGATGATCAGGAGGCTTGTTTCCCGCACGGGGGCGAACTGGTAGAAGTCTCCCATCAGTAGAACGCCGGGCATCCCGCCAAACGGCTCGTCCGGACAGTCACGGAGCGCCTGTAGGTGACGGCTGACGTTGTGCAGAGTGGCCCCTCAGCATACTGACCTCGTCAATCACGAGTACCAGCTTCTGTTTCCATATCCATTTCTTCGCCTCCGAGAAAGGGAGGCGGTTTGTTTGGATCTCGATGGAATCCAACCCACAGGCCGAGTGGATGGTCGTGCCACCAATCTGGGCCGCCGAACTGCCCGATGTGCCGGTTATCTGCAGAAGATGTGGCTGGTTTCTCGCCGCGAACATGTCCTTCAGGGCATCGATGATCCTCGACTTTCCCGTGCCACCCGGCCGCCAGTATACTGGAGATGTTGGCCAGCTGAGTCCGGATTAGCGGTATACTTGTCCAGAAATGCGCAAACAAGTTGAAGGGCCATGGTCTGTAGATAGTTCAGAGTGAAGGTGGCTGCAGTGGCGAGTCCCATGTCCGCGAAGCTAGTCGCCGGACTGGCGTCGACGAGCATTCGAGGGCCCCGTTCATTGAGATCACTACCCGGGTGCGCAATGGCGGGGCCCATATCGCCGTAGCGAGCCAGTGTATCGTCGATGTCGGCGCCATCCGTGGAAAGCAGGGTCTCCTGAGAACCACTCTCAATGTCGTCTAGCATTCGAAGATGCAATAGTTGTTGAGCCTTTTCCGCTGCTTGGACATCATCTCGAGATATTGGGAATTGGCACAAGGCGTCACCACGACCAGGCGGTATATTCCGGTACAGATCCTCCTGGCGTTGCACAAAAGGTTGCCTTTCTTCAGCTGGGTTCTCCTCGCACAGGTCACGCATCAGACCGCCAAGGACAGAGGAGTCCTTCGTGGCTTCACCATCTTGGACGGCATTTTGCAAAATCTGAAGTAGAGCTGTATAGGCTTGATGGTGTTGAGCCGTCGCTGGAGGCTCCTCGTACTGGCCATCGTCAAGCGGGTATTCGACGTCAACAGTGTCATCACCCTCCGATCGACTGGCCCAGAGCTTCGCGTCTTGACGGGCATCCTCTGCAGACTTTCTCAGAAGACAAATATTGGAGACGTGGAAACGGAGGCGGGGCAAGCGCCGCTCGATGCCTCGTCCATATGTCGGTGATATCGCCTTGTCCCTCAGAAGTGAAGGTTTCCCAAGGGACGAATAACGCCAGGTGGAGAACGGAGTTCCTAGAGAAATGTCAGATGAAACCGAAGCGGCGCCGGAGGTCTAGAGCGTACCGCTTAACATACACCGGGTGATCGTCTTCAACGTCGTCGCTAATGTATCCTTGGAAGATTGGGATGGCGTACTCGTCGGGCCGTCGAAGCTTTTGGATCCAGCCGTCACAGTCGGAATCCTGCCCATCGAGAGAAATGTGAGACTCATCTTCAGCCCGGCCTTTCCAACGCACCAAGTAAATCATCGACATATAGTCATACAGACATAAGTCTCGTAGAACATGGCCGCGGTAGGCGTACGCGTCCAGGTATAAAAGGGTTCGCCCTCCTTGCCCCAGAGGGATTGTCTCCGGGGGCCGTTCTGCGTCCGTGAGCTCGCCGGCCTGGTGGCGGAGATGTGACCATAGCCGAAAGATTGTCCAGTAGAGGGCCGTCAAGTTCAGGAAGGACCAATGCGGCACGTTGGTAAAGTCGGTGTCGTATCCGGTTTGGTGGCGTAGTTCGTGATGTAGTACACCATGGCCAGGCCCTTGGTCTTGGTCAAGATCATCGAGACGTCGTGATTATGGCGAAGGCCGACCGCCAATGACTTGTTATATCGATTGACGAGTGGATGGTTGCGCCGGATCTGAAGCAAGCTGTCCTCTGTGAACCCCGTCTCGTCGACGATTTTCCACGGTGCTTTGAAGCGGCAGGCCGTTCGTCTCTGTGGACCTGCACCCTGTTCGACGATCCCCTTGAGAGAATACTTGAGGCAGGTGTACGTGTGGGAGTGCACTTGGCAACAGTACGCGATGAAGTTGGATTCGTCCTCGGAAGGCCGCAGTGAGAGCCGAGGTGCTGGTCATGACCTCCTCCACGGGATGAATGGGCTTCCTCTCCTGTCGCACGGCTTTCCCGGCATCTTCATCTAGACATTCGTGAAAGACGGAATCTACGTATCGGATCACTCGGGCACGGTATGCTTCTTCCGCGGGGTTGGCCATGTCATCCATCAGGTTCGGTAATCGCATGTTGCCGTCCAGCCAGGAGTCCGTGTAAATGGAGGCTGCCTCGTTCGTTCGTTTCCACCGTCGCGTAGTAGTGGCTGACCTTCCCGAAGATGGACTCCTGGCCTGTGTTCACGTACTTATCGAAGAACAATGATATTTCCCGATGGAAGAAAACGGCCGAGCTGACTGGATCCATGGTGCTGAGAGCGACTCTGTCGTATTTTCCACGGAGATCTGCTAAAAGCTCCTCGGCAGACTCATGATCATGGAGCCTGTGAATGGCGAGTTTCATCTTGACCGGATTATTGATGTCGTTAGGATTGATGGTAATCCATAATGCGGGCATGCCAGCGCGGATGTCCAGAGCTTGTATCTTCCTCCGCATAAGCAAACGGGATTCGTTCGAGAGCGGCTGTGCGTGACCAAAAATCGACAGCTCGCGAAGCAAGACCGATATGTCGGGGTCCGACGTAGTCCTTGTCTCCCGCATCTCCGCCTCGGCCCTCTTCAGTCGGTCCTCGGTCAGGTTCGCATACGCTTGTTCAAGTCTGTGAAAGGAGTTTTTAGCGACACGGACCATGCTAATGCGGCGGTTGGAGGAGCGAAGGAGGGTGTTGAACACTAGGAAACAAAAGACAGGGTGCGCGGCGAATCGACCACCATGCCGTTGCAATACATATCTGGCCCAGTAACTAAGCGAGTGATTCGGATAATGGTCAGCAGAGTCGCTTCGCAGGTCGGGACTTGAGCCGCACTTCGATTTCGGGCCGCCCTTTCCCCACGGAAAAAGCTTGGGAAATGTTCGAGGGAAGAAATCTTCGTGCAAGTTGTCTGCAAAATCCGCACCACGCTCTACTCGGACAAACGGCTGGTCTCCCGCAGTTTGGACCTGCATAACGCACGGCACAGAGGTGCCATGGCGGTCCGGATTGGCTTTGACGATGTCGGCCAGAAACGACAGTTTATCTGTATCCGCGAAGGCAGCCGGTCCATCGAGAGGAAACATGCCGGACGTAGACGTCTCACAGACGATGTCAACGTCCTGGCCGATGGCAGCCGAGTCGGGGACAAGAGTCGCCGGCTCACCAGGGGGGGGTCGAGTCTGCTCAGTCGACAGAGTACAGTCCAAATCGCAAGATTCAGCGACGAAGGTAGAATCGATCGAGCTCACGAGTTCATCGATGCTTCTGAAGCTGTTTTCCTGCAGGCCTCGATCAGTGTCCGGGACTATGTGATCCGTTTGTGTCCTCTCAACGGTCGACGGTTCCTCTCTTTGCATGCGGTCCATGATGACGGTCGGAACAGTGGAGCCATTGGCATACTGCCAGCCATCCATCTCTGCTTGGTTAATCGCGATATCCTCGTAGAGCGGGTTGTTCCTTTGCAGCCATGCCAGTGCAGCTGCCACTCGAGATTTGCGTACTTGAAGCAAGTGTCTGACATCCCCGGAGCCAGGCTTGCCTGAACCGCTCCAGGAGATGTGGATGTTCTCGATGGCCTGCAGTAAGGGATGGGGAAGAACGGTGGCAACAAGATCGTCCACCTTGTTTGGAAATACGACGATATGTCCTTTCACGTGCTTGCGGTAGCTGATTCCCGAACGGGTCTTGTTGTCGACTGTGAACTTGGTGATATAGCCAAAGGCGCATGCAGGGCAATGAGTCTCTCTTCAACGGGGAGAGGTCATCAAGCTCTTCGGGGTACCGATGTTCGCAACCGATGGCCATGTTGTTGACCGAGCAGGCTTTAGCAGCCGTCCACTGTCGAAGCTGGCGCGACACTCGCGGCACACGTCAACCCGCCGCCCTCGTGTGACGGAAGGCACGCGCCACACTCTTGGATAGTCCTGGTCACCCGCAGCATGGAGGCGACAAGCGACCCCTCCACTGCATGGTGGCGAGTTCGCATGGCGGTGTCTTCCTATAGCAGAAGACGCAGTGGGAAACCGGCAACGTCCGTTCCTCGGTAAACGCTTGGTAGAAAGATTTAGCAGCCTCTACCTGGAGGGCAACTGGAACTTCGTTGCACCAGGATCTTGTCGATGATGCCTGCTCCTTGACGCGGAAAGTGGCGTTGTAGTGATGCAGTACGGATTCGACAGAGTCTCGTTGAAGTTGAACGGTTTCTCGCATCGGCCGGGGTCTTTTGGGGGAGCGCTTGGGCTGCGTCGGTGGCGGAGTGGGGGGTGCTTGCTCGTCTCTAGGCCGTTTCGGCGATGGCGTGGCTGGCGGTTGATTATGTCTCTTGGAGGAGCTCTTTGGCTGCGTGGGCGGTGGAGCGGGATGTGCCTGCTCGTCTCTAATTCGTTCTGGTGATGGAGTGGCCGGGGGCTGCCCCTGTACGGTATATTGGCATCGAGCTCTACAAGATGGGGAAGCGTTCTCTGACACCGACTATTCCAATGCGGATACCGCACTCGTCTTCGTTCCAGACCTCTGACGGCCCGATGCCGTGGGTGGTGATGATCTCGGAGAGCCGTTTGAAGAAGTTCTCGACGTTATAAACGTTTCCTGCCTCAAACGACTTCCTCGACCGCTCAACAGCCTTAATATATGTGACCCGAAGCTCTGGGTGGTCATTCTTCCAGCGAGGATACCAGTTTTTTGATGGTGGCTGGCGGTTAGGATCGCGGCGACGAAGGAGCTCAAGAGCGGCAGTCTCGACCTGCTGCTTGCTGGCTGGGAAGCCGCTTTTCTGGAGCCAGATAACGTATGCGACGAGAGCGTCATCTTCTTCGTTAGAAAGAACACTCGGCCGACCAGTGTGGCCTACATCGCCACGATACCTCCGTATGGCCTTCTGAACCGTTGAGCTTGGCACCTTGAATATACGCGCTGCCTGACGCACAGAGACGGGCTTTGAGGGGGCCCCGCGCGTCTTGCGGCGTCGTCCTTGTTTGAGGGCATCGTGAGATTCAACAACTAGCCTCGCCGCCCGGTCTGCGGCGGCTAGGCTAGTCATGGCGTAATTACGACAGTCGAGCTCTCCCTGAGCACCACGCGCGATCGCGTTTTGGTGAGAATACACACTAATTACGCGCTAGACGTGGTAGTGGGGACGTGTTTAAATGTCCACACCTTTTGGGGCTGTCCACACCATTTGTGCCAACTAAGGGGCCCCTACCCCTTAGTTGGCTGCCGAAGGCCCCGCCAACGGGTATATGCCCTCCGGTGGGAGGACATCGTCGACAAATTTTGCCTCAGCCATCTTTGGCTGTTTGGCGACTCAATTGCTGGTGGACCGCGTCTCGCACACGCCAATAGGGGCACGCTTTTGAGGCTTAGTCAGAAAGCGCGCCCCGGGCGCCAGTGTAACTTATCAGCCGCCGACGCTATGCGACTATCCATCCACCAAAAAAGCGGGGACGGTTTGAACTACCACCTCACCCTCGTCTCGTCTGCATTTTTCGCCTCCTCCACGACGATGCCAGGCCAGCCAGCATCCTCTCCGGCCCTGTTCTCTAGTGTGTCGTGAACAGCGGGCGCATCGAGGTGCAAAGACTGCGGGAACAGGCCCTGGCTAAAGAGGATAAAGGACGGGACACAGCTCTTGCAAGGCGCTCTCCCCGCCCGCCGCCCGTCACCCAGCACCGGCCCATCTCGCCATTCACTTCGTGCGAGCCCGTGCTCTTGCTCACAGGCAGCAAACGGCCTGCCCTGCGCCTGCGCCTGCCTCGCACACATTCCTCTTCACGGCCTCTGCCGCCACGCGCAAACGGCGACTGCGCTGCTTGCTTGCTCACCGCCTCGGCGTGCACGTATATATAAATAACATGTAAGCCCCCCGCTGCCGTGCTCCGAGCAAGACCCTGGCCTGTCGCGACATCCCTTGCCCGGTCCGCGTTAATTTTTTTTGACACGTCCCTGGAGATAGACTTGCCTGTTGCGATGTCAGACCGCGGCGGAGACCGGGGCGGCGGCGGCTCCTCTGCCCGCGGCCGCGGCGGCTTCTCGGACCGGAGCGGACGCGGTGGCTATCGCGGCGGCCGCGGCGACGGCGGTGACCGGGGCGGTCGCGGAGGCGGCTTCCGCGGTGGTCGTGGGGGCCGGCCGCGCGACACGACGATCGAGCTGGCGTATAGGTGTGTATATTGCCCCCGTCTGCCGTGCTCGACACCCGGCCCGCTGACAAGGCCCGCAGCGTCAATGGATCTTTCCCGCAGCCCGACGCTGCCGTGACGGCCCTCGAGGACCGCCTCATCAAGACGCAGAGATCCTCAGCCGCCGGCCTCGCGGCGCAGATGGCCAAGACCAACATCCAGGCGCCGCCCCTCCAGGCCCGGTCCACTGACGTGTTTCCCCTGAGGCCGGCCTTTGGCACAAGCGGCCAGCCCGTCACGCTGTGGTCCAACTACTTCAACGTCACCTTCAAACCCATGGTGCTGTACAAGTACACCTTTGAGTTTGTCCAGGTCGGCTCCGAGACGTCGTCGGGCGAGCCGTCCAAGTCGTCCAAGGCCGCCAGCCGCGAGGTCAAGGGCCGCAAGCTCTACTTTGCCGTCCGCGAGCTGCTCGCCACCCTCAAGGCCGCCGACAAGACGCTCGTGCTCGCCACCGAG